TCTGTATTGGGAAGACATTGCAACGAGACGAACAACCGTTAAACAAAGAAAGGATACTTGGTAATGACTACTGCTCTGTATTGGGAAGACATTGCAACGAGACGAACGTCCGTTAAACAAAGAAAGGACACTCTTAGTAATGACTACTGCTCTTTATTGGGAAGACATTGCAATGAGACGAACAGCCGTTAAATAAAGAAAGGACACTCTTAGTAATGACTACTCCTCTGTATTGGGGAAGACATTGCAACGAGACGAACTAGGTCTATTTATTTTTAAGATGTAATTGCATTCATGGGGTGATTGTATGATTGTAAGGCACTTCAGCCATTACGAGTTTAACTCTATACTTTTGTTAACCCACTGCGTGTAAAACCAAGACTTTCAATGACTTCTAGGTGTGGAATAATCAGCTCCTTACGTGGGATCCAAACCAGTACGAAGGAATTATGCAGATAAGACTGGACCCAAGTAAAGTATGGATTCCTGATATAGTGCTTTATAACAGGTGTGTATGTCTAAATCAAAAGGCGGTACGGACACTCTGTTTTCTAATTGGTGGCGGGTTATATGAATGTATTGCAAAACGAATATATTCAAATATCAGGGGGTAACATACTCAGAGGTTAAATTATAATTTAGCGTGTTAGCGTATCGAACCCGAGACCTTAGAGGTCAGTGAGAGTTCATTGAACTTCTGTTACGGCACCCAGTCATTCCCGATTTAGATCGGAATTTCTCTTCGCAAAACCTGAATAGACTGAATACTCCCCTGATTACAGCCCTACTTCAATCTGTCTTCATTCTGTTTTCATATAGTGCTAGCAGTGAGTTCAGCGGCGGTACAGAGAAATACAAGACGCCCGTCATTGTGAATTACGATGGTATTAACAGATGGTACAGCCCTGCTTCCTTCACTAGCACATGTAAAATTGATGTCACATATTTTCCATTTGATGAACAAACTTGCTCCATGAAATTTGGTTCGTGGACGTATGAGGTGAGCTGAGTTAAAATCATATGGCTTGCTTTCATCTTGAATGTCCAGCCTCGACCTTGCAAATCATATGCAAACAAAAACTATGCATTTTTGGGCGTTTTTTCCACTTTTGAGAATTTAGAAAAGCATATCTTATTTTATATTATTTAGAGTGAATCAATAAACATATATTTCCAGTTACAGTCAAAACGACTCAAGCTTTTCCCCCTATAGGTTTCATTAACGATTTCATTATTCGAGTATTGAAATTTATTATTCTTTCCAAAAATTTGAAGACACAACATTCGAAATAATAAACGATTCAAAACTCGAATTCTAATTGGATTATTCCATAAAAGGTACACCATAATCCAATCAGAATTCCAGTTTTTAATTGGTTATTATTTCAAATCCAGAGTATTCGTATTCTCAGAAAGAATAATGAATTTCAATATTCAAATAATGAAAGCGTTAATGGAACCTAGGGAGATTAGCTTGAGCCGTTTTGACTGTAAAGATGAAAAGGAAAAAGAAGAATCAAAACAGGATTAACTCTAGTTCGAAATGAGAAAACAAAATTATGCCAATAAATGATGACACACTAACTGTCACACTTCCTGCTTCTACAGTTGCCTTGGAGGGGAGGGGAGAGGGAAGGATGATTGAAACCCTATTTGAGTTGTGGCTTCAATTCTTTTTTACAGATTATCCATCTAAACATGCTCCCAGAAAATGCCTCAATGAGGTCTATGTACATTGAAAGTGCAGAATGGGACTTGATATCAGCTTACAAGACACGTGCGGCAAAGTTATACCCCTGCTGCGCCAACGAACTAGTTGACATCACTATGCATGTCCAGATTAAACGAAAACCACTCTTTTACCTTTTCAACTTGGTTGTACCCTGCATGATTATTCTCTCCATGATACTCCTCGGCTTTTTTCTGCCTCCCGAGTCAGGCGAACGAATAACCTTGAGCATAACTATCCTTTTGGCAATGGCTGTGTTCTTACAGCTTGTTGGAGAGAGCCTGCCTCGAAATTCAGAAACTATACCCTTATTAGGCACCTTCTACATAGCAATTATGGCAGAGATCTCTATCTCGCTGATGCTGACTTGCTTTGTTCTAAACATCCACTACCGAGGCACCGGTAACTCAGCTCAAGAGGTACCAGTTTGGGCCAAAATCCTCATCCTTGATTGGCTCGGATATGTTTTGTGTGTTCGAAGGTCGTTCAGAAATGAAAGCAATCAGCAATCAAATGTCCCGGAGAAACGCTTCGTTGATGGTCGTAATAAGAAAGGTTACTCCGTATCTCTGGCTTACGAGTATGCAGACATGAACTTTGCTCCATCCACTAACTGCCATTGTAGCCGCTGCATGCACGCACGCGGGCTCGTGTACAATAACCCCGATCGCAATCATATACATAGTCCAGACATGCCCAAGTTTATTGACAACCGATTCCCTGGTGAAGCGTCTCCGACGGGATCTACGGGCTGGAAACGGCGGCAAAACGAGCCCAATTTAGCTGAAGAAATTAGCGTTCTTTCCAACAGCATTCGCGAACGAGAGAAAGTCGAAAAGCATCAAGAAGACTGGAAATATTTTGCTATGGTGATGGATCGGATGTTTTTCTGGCTGTACTTTACTACTATTATTATATCTTCACTGACGATTATTCTACGCAGACCGTAACATCACAAGCGTGCCTCTGGTTAGGGGTTCTTAGAGAAGTTAGCCGTCGATGCTCTAGCTTCCCGATTCTTGGCATTTGACACCTGGTCCTCTTCTTTACGGAAAAGAAAACCATGCTGCCACTCATTGGTAATGGAAGAAGAATATTCTTATGAAGGTATTCCAAGAGTAGAAACCTGCTTTGCCGATTGAATCGACAGCTGGCGACATCATGATGCTGTTGTTGCCGTTGCAATGCAGCAATTTACATCACTTGTTATCTATAGCAACCGTGACGTAACTAGAGCAAAACTGACGTAACTATGACAACGATCCTGTGAAATACACTATGTGAATGGAAATATAAATTGTTGATATTTTATAATAAGATTTAATTAATTATGATTTAAATTATTGACTAAAGTGCTAATTAGAACACACGGACATCGTAATGTTTGTACATTTAGAATTGTTTATTGTCTATTGGTACGGGCATAATTAGTATTTCATCAGTAAAAGACCCCTTCTTACTCTAATTATTTACATAAAATAGATGCTTTGCAGGATAGGGCTCTTAAGTTTGTTTACATTACGAATATGGATCCCGTGAAAGACATGATTGAAAAATCAGATTTAAGATTATGGGATAAAATAACTGAGCCTAAACACCCTTTATTCCATCTGCTCCCACCCAATACGTTGTCCGGCGTTGAGCGGCCCGACAAGTCTATGCGACTGGTCCGAAAGGAGCTATGGGTGGAAATAACATTTTGCCTTTTTTTTGTTGTTGTTGCTTACTATAAATCACGTGACTTTTTGGAGTTGACTGGGAGCAATTAATATGCAACTAGCAACTGAAAAGCCAAAACATGTCAAAATAAGTCCTCAAAGTATTCTCACCATTTCTATCGCCTGAAACCTCAAGATCAAAATAAGCATACAACCTCCATGGCTGGTCATCATGGTTTTCACGCAAACTACTCGAATTTGAGTTACTTTGGCGCTATGCTACTAAAATATAACAAAATAAACGGCTTTTGAAAATTTTCATACTTTGAAGCAATATTTTGTCATTAAACACAGACTGAGTGGTATAACGAGCTGATCTATATGGTATCTTACCTCGTCGAAAATGGCATGCCGCTAATCTGTACTTTAAAATAGTCAATAAAACGGCGTCTACCATGAGTGAGAGCAATGGACAGTGATTGAAACGTCAGTGCCTAATTTACATATTAGTCATTTACATATTGCCCTTTCATATGGGCATGCACAGACATTTTTCTGCCGGTAGTAAATTTTGGTGATTAGTTGTTTATATTTTGATATATGTGTTTCTGTTTTACTGTATGTGTTTGTAGACGTTTTCATCTATTATCTTTATTGTAGTTTTACACTTTAAAAGTGATAGTCACAGATAATTTATTGATGGGTTGCACATTAAAGTGAAACGGATTTGAATTAGAAAACGTTGTGAGATTGAACCAACCCCTCCGCCGCCAAGGCCTGATACTCAGGTTAGGAAATTCCTTTTTCGACGCCGCTAGCCTCTGGCAAACCAATACATGGACACGTAACGGATGCCTAAAAAAATCAAATAAAAAAAGCCGAGTTGAATGCAAACGCACATTTTTGATCAGTTAGCAGAATCACAAGCTGTCGCAGCTACTCCTCTCCTCAAAAGAGGAAAACTAAAAACGTTCAGCTCTTGGTTGCCAAAAGAATCCACAGTCCAGGATACACAGTACACACATGCGAATATATGAAAAGTAGAACGATGATATACATAATAAACCAGACCTTGAGGGCAGGGTATAGTGGGAAATAACTGGGTGTCCTGGATTGGACAGCTTACCTGAGTCTTTAAGAATCTCAAGGTACGGTGAACGCCTATTTGGGTAAAAAGGTTACCTATTTCGTGCGTGGCAAAGTGCAAGGGATTAGCTGTAGATATGGTAGTAATTCGTACACCCAAGGGCAGAAGGCCTCGATTGCCGTCAGGTCAGAAGTCCATATGACGCCTCAGCTCCTCAGATATGACACATTGTATTCAAAATTTTGTCATTGTATTCAAAACAAAAAACAAAACGAAACTGAATTTTTTTTATTGTGAAGGTTTTTATATATCAAAGTATTGGGTTAAAATAAAACATTTTCGCAAAAAGTCAGTACTGCTGTCTGTACTGCTACCTGTACTGCTGTCTGTACTGCTGCTTGTACTGCTG